ATCAACTGTCAACAATATTACACTTTCATTCAAATTTTTCTGAAAGCAAAGGATTAGAAACTACGTACTTAGAGGAGGACGTGTTATCCTGTCACTCGCAATTTCTGGGACATTACTGGAGAGGCCTCACATCGACTTATCAAGGAACTATGATTTACCCCCGCTTCTCCGTCACCTAGCGGTACCTTGTTGAACCTGATATATTCTGAGAGGGTTGGGAAAGTTGAAATGTTCATTCCATTGCTTTTTAGCCCCTTCAGTCTTTTTCAGTAAAATGCTTTTGTCATACTGTGTTTTAAAATATATTTTCATCAAAGCTTGGAGCTGCAGATTGGGTTCATTCCACTTATGGCCGGTGTGTCCTTCATGCAGCCTGACCCTCCTTCTCAAACCAGTGAAGAAATGAGACTTATTTTCTGTCAGACAAGGTCTGACCCACTTTTCCATTGAAATAAAAGTGTTAACATGATTTTCCAGGGATTTTCAGAAAGAAAATCGTGAGAAATAAAATTATAGGACACACCTTATAAGATAAATGGCTGAAGGCAGTGAAGTCAAGATTGAAAACATATAGATTTAATTAACTGACCCACTGTATAATATGCCGGTAAAAGTAAATGCGTCTATACACTGCTTTTCTAACTTAATTTGTAACAGTTTAATGAAGTATGTAGGCAAATGTTCAGGTTATATACTGAGTGCGGAGAATGATGATAAAAAAGCGTGTGCATACGCATGCGATGATCACTATTCCCAGGAGCTAAGACTAAATAAGAATTAAGTATGGGGCTTCCCTGGTGGCGCAGTGGTTGAGAGTCCGCCTGCCTATGCAGGGGATGCGGGTTCGTGCCCCGGTCCGGGAAGATCCCACATGCTGCGGAGCGGCTGGGCCCGTGAGCCGTGGCCGCTGAGCCTGTGCGTCCGGAGCCTGTGCTCCGCAACGGGAGAGGCCACAGCAGTGAGAGGCCCGCGTACCGCAAAAAAAAAAAGAAAAAAGAAAAGAATTAAGTATAAAAATCATTTGAAAAAGCTCTTCCTCACTAATTCTGGCAAGCAACATGATCAAAGCCTCCTTTGTGTTTAATGAAAAAGAAAGGTCGGAAAGGTATGAAGGCTTAATGAAAAGAAAGGCAAAAAACGAAATCAGTCTCATAGCTGACACTTTGCAATGTGTGTTTGCAGTATTAAGAATATTCAATTCCTCCATATAAAACAAGAAATGAGTAGAGAAGCAAGTGGTCTATTTGACTCGTGAAACCGTTTACAGGTCAGCCGGACGTGGGGAGGTACCGGTATTCGTAAGACACTCGTCTTCAAGAGGCCAGACATTACCCACCCATAGCTGGCTTCCAGTTCAGCCCCAGCATTTCCTGCCCAAGGCAACCAGATAAAAGGCCAAACACATTTCATCCAGCAGCGTAACTTAAACTCCCAGTGGAATCGGGTTTAATGTCTTATTAGTCTTGTCACTAACTAGAGTTAACTAAAGTCTTTGACATGTGTTCATAAATGGATTCTCGTATTCCAGCCCAGCAAGACAGAGACCTAAATGTATTCTCACACCCTCTACCCTTCCCGTCACTCCAGGCTTCGCCACGTTGACACAAACCAGACCTTAAACTCTGGGTTCTCAGGGCTATGTGTTCTCTTACTTTCAGCTTAGCTTTAACAAGCACCATAGACTTACCACCGTACTGATGATTTTTACGTTGTAGGCCTCTTGCGAGATTTCTCAAATGTTGTTTCTCTATTTAAGCATTTCATCAAAACTGCTTTCAATGCCGATTTTTCTGTGTCAAAGCTCTGAGGCACCATTTTTAACAATTAATCATTTGCTTTTGTGAATTCAGTGGGTATTTACTGTCTGCAGCAGGGCAGGGCTGTCCTAAGTGACGGGGAACAGCCGTGAACTGATGCCTCTGACCTACAGTGTCAACGTTTCGCTGGGGACAGATCAACAAACCCAAGTTACATCAGAGCAGTATGTGTCAGGAAGGAAAATCAGGCAGGGTGAGCGGTGACAGAAGATTCAGCAGATGCAGGAAGTCCTTATTTCCACGAAGATACCCTTAAAACGGCTCTCCAAGGAAGTAATGATTGCGATTTAAAAACTGTTCTATGCCCCGCCTCCATTTTTAAAACTTGGAAAGTTCACATTTTACGGTGGTAAAGTTTTTTGTGTATGCGTTACCTGCTTTTGTGTAAAAAATCCCAGAGCACTTAGAGTACCATCAAATGGTAGTTTTAAAAGTCTATGTTTGAACTTTTAAAATTCCTTATGAAAAATTTTAAAGACATAAAAGTAGAGAGAAGAGTATCCTGCATTCCTACGTGCTGGCGCCAACAGTCTCCTACACTCGGCCAATACTGTTCCAACTAGACCTTTTCTCCATTTACAGCCCTCTTTTTCTGTTTTCATTTTTTCTTTTAAGGAAGCCCCAGACTTCCCATTTCATCTGCAAGGGCTTCGCTGTGCCTCCTAACGACGCCCTTGCAAGGGTAACAAATGGCACAGACGCCCCATTTGCCAGATGTGACACTTTACTGCTAGCGTCCAGGTAGTTTAGGTTTTCTTTTTGTCTCTTCCTCTTTCCATCTGGTTTTCTATTATTTAGCTTGTCTATTGTGTTCACTGTTTCAAATTCTGCTTGGTTTCATTTTATCTCTTTGAGAATGTTCATTAAGCTAATTTTAAATTCTTGGGCTCTCTGTTCTAAAATGTTAGCATATATTCTGACGGAATCTCTAATTCAAGATTCTAACTGTCAAATAGCTGTACTCTTCAGACGTCTTCTTTCTCCTCAGGAGGTCATTTTCTGTGGGCTGTTAGCTACTTGGTCAGCTGGCCTCAGAGGCCTCAGTCCCAGGGAGCTGAGGGGCGGGGAGAGGCGGGGAGCCCCGGCCCCTGCAGCCCTGCCGCTCTGGGCTGTGGGCAGACGCTCCGAGAACAGGGCCCTTGCCCGCCCAGAGCTGCCCTACAGACCCAGGCCAGTGGTGCCGGTCGATGCTTAGCCACGCGCCCCCTCCCCGTCCTGTGTTCATGTGTGTCCATGAGCTGACGGTCAATTTTGTGGCTGTGAGGACTGCAGCCCACGCTGCATATAATAGATAACAATAAAACACATGATACTCCGGCAAGTCCCAGGGCCCGCTGCCCCTGCAGACGCCCGGTGGGTCCATCGCTGCACCCTCGCACCCACAGCCCGTCCAGAGCGGGGTCGCCATCACCCATGTGTCTGGCGCGGGAAGCAATGGCGTTGCCTCTCGTCATGGGCGTGACAGTTCTCAGAGGCTGCACCAACACGTTCTCAACTTCCGGCGCCCTCACAACCTGGCAGGCGCGTTTCAGGTACCATCTGCACAGCCTGCGCCCCTTTCTCGGGCCTGGGGACAGCAGGGCAGCAGAGGGGGCCGGAGCGGGGGCGTCCAGCGTGCACAACTCCCCCGCGGGCCGACGCCCGTGCCCAGAACAACACACACGGCGAGTGAGGGGCTCTGGGGATCCAGTACCTTGATCTCGATGACCGTGAGCTCATACGGTGTGATTTTAACTAACGGCTGGGTTCGACCTCTCCCCAAATTCCCGCACCTTCGCTGCTGGGCCAGTGCCCCGACTCGCCAGGTTCCCTCGGCCGGTCCCTCTGCCTTTACTAAAGAAATTATTCATAATATGACTAACTAAATGTTAATTAATATTAACACTTAAATGAAGCAATTTACGAAGTAGCTGCTTCCCTGCGCCCCCCGGCTGCAGCCCGCCTGCCCCCTTCCCTCCTCCTCTCTCCACCAGGACACCCACCCCAACACCCCTCCCATCCCAGGAATGGATCTGTAGTCTCTGCTGCAGGAGAACAAGAGCTCCGTGTCACGTCAGCCCCGTCGTGGAACACGGGGTCTTGCCCGCCCCCTCCATGGAGCCACAGGAAGACCCCACGGGGAAAAGCCCTTCTACAGACTGAACTGTAGAGGAGACTGTCCCCAACCTTTTCTCTGAAGCTTAATCTGCCCTTTTTGATGACACATGTTTTCATCTGAATGTTGCTTTTATTGTGGGGAAAAAAATGAAAACGGAATCAAAATGGATGCAAAGGACAGTAAATTACTTGTCTATAACTGTGCTGCTTTTTGTTTGTATGGGACTTTTGACTTTTCTAAAGGTTGTCCTGTTTGCTTTTCATGCTGATATAGAAATGTTGGACAACGAGATAAAATTTTTAAAAAGGAAACTAAAATTAAAATGACTCCCAATCCCATCATTCACACACGGTGACCAGACTCGGCCTCTTCCAGATTGTTCCGTGTGTGCTTGTACCCTTCTCACATAAAGCATCCGAACTTCTCTACAACTGCGAACTTCAATACTGCCTTGCAGCCAGGTTTCCACTTTACCGTGAACGGCCCTCCAAAACGCCAGCCCTGAACACTGCCGCTCTACCCCGTAACCAGGTAGCTGCCTCACCGTGGCCGACACCCAGACAGTCCGGCCAGCGACGAGCTGGTGTGGGCTCCCCCTCTGCTGTCCCGTCCACGGTGCTCCACACGCCTCACGCCACGTGGGCTCACGTCATTCTCCCTCTCTATAGCCGGGCAGGAGCAGGGCCAGCTATGCAAGTTCCACTCCTCCACCTAACGTGTGGGAGTGGCCGGCGTGTGCCAGGAACCCACGTGGGAGGGTGGGGTGGCCGGCGTGTGCCAGGAACCCACGTGGGGGGGGAGTGGCCGGCGTGTGCCAGGAACCCACGTGGGGGGAGAGTGGCCGGCGTGTGCCAGGAACCCACGTGGCGGGGGAGTGGCCGGCGTGTGCCAGGAACCCACGTGCGGGGGGTGGGGAATCAGAGGGCCCAAGCCCCAGGGGAGGCACTCAGAGCCACGCACAGATGACAGGAGTGGAGCGTCGGCCCAGTGCCCTCGGCTGGCGCCCACCCACACCTTCCCAAACACTACTCTGGACCAAGGAGGGAAATAACCAGGGAGGAGAGAGAATCTCAGCGAGGCTGTGGTAGTGAAACATGGTTTTATTGAGAACGTCTCAAGTCCTCTGTCTGAGTGACAGGGTCTCATGCTCGGTGCTGGCTGGTCTCAGTGCAGGAGGAAGCTCATGCAGGGGGTCACGTGTGGCCTGCACATCAGTGGACACACAGGGGGCGCCGAGGAGTGCGCCTGGGTGACAGCGCTCTCGGCGGGATTACATTCATATGAAGTGTCCGAATTCTAGAATAAAATTAACAGCATGTAACCCAAAGTTGGAGAAGCAAACAGCTTTCGGGGCTCATTCCACGAACATTCCGCAGACCGCCTTTAACTGTTCACGACTGGGTCCGTGATACAACAGCAGCCCAAGCCGTGGCCAAGATGAGAGTCCTCGGGGCTGGGGGCGTGCACCTCCAGACACTGAACGAGGAAGCGCACACGCGCTGCCGGAAACAGGAGCTCAGAGTCCAGATCGCCAGAGCCTCTCCCTCCCAGCCATGTGGACACAGAACCCCAGTGCCGGCCTCTGGCCAGGGAGAGACAGTCACAGGACACGCCGAGGAAAAGGACACGCGAAGCTGGACTCACACGACCACACTCTGCTCTTTCCATTCATATAGTTTTGATAAAAAGAAAACCTTCTGAGAGATTCACTAATTTCACAGAATTTAGAGATGGGATTTTACTTCTCGTGCTGGATCAAATTTATAGTTGGAGCAGACCTTGCATTTTGGTGTAAAATATTTTGGAAATGGAAAAATCCCATCTGTCTTTTTTATTTGTTCCTGGAGAAAAGGGGCAGGGCGTGCTCCCAGCACCCACCAATTGCATTCTGGGACCTGGCTACCCCAGGAGACTGGGAGGCTCGGCCACGTGAAATTACAAGGAAAGCAGGGATTCTAGAGTCTGGAAAGCAACAAAATTATTCAAAAAAAATAAATTCCAGAGAAGTTAATACCTTGTGAAATGTGGGCTTGTACATTTTAAAATAAAATAACTGATTTTGATCATAATAAAAATCTCAAAATAGAAAAAGATGACGAAAAGCCCCATTAAGACTCAGAGTCAAACTGCAGGGAGGAGGTGAGGCCTCCCGACCCCAAGCAGGGGTGAGGGCTGAGGAACCAGCGATCACGGCCCCCACCTCGGCCACCCTCTCCACAAGCCCTGGCTCGGGTCACAAAATGAGACTTCTCTATGGCGGACCTTCCCGCCAGCAGGACAGCTGCCCAGTGGCCCCAGGCACCGCAGCAGGGCCAGTGTCTTTGCAGAATACATACTACAGGCTTGGCCGCCGAGACAGAACAGAAACCCTCCCAAACCCCACCGGCCAAAATGTCCTCAAAGTTTAAGATTTTTCTCAAAAGATCAAGGGCTTGGTTGTGTCAGATTTCCAAAGTTTCTAAAACCCAGATTAAGGACCCTGGATGCAAAACGACACCTCAAGGAAATGCCTTCGTGGTGATGCACGGCGCGCTGCACGCCCTGATTTGTCTTTTGGGGGGTGTGCGTTTCCTCCTTTTTCCTGCTTACAGAGGAGTGTGCCAGTTGCCCTGTCCCAGGAGCTGTGCAGGCCTCCTGCCCCAGCCCGACTCCCCGCAGCCCTGCCTGGCCCTGCCGCCCAGCGGTCCCCGACCCCCTCGCCCGCGATCCTTGGCTACCTTCCTCCCCGGGCCTGGGTGCTCTCGGGGCAGGAGCCCCGCGTCAGGTCCGTCCTGGACGGCCGCACAAATGTGAACCGGGAGAGGCAGCGGGGCACAGCCACACGGCACGGACCCACACAGTAAGGCATTCGTTTACCTGGGCTGGGGCATGGTGGGGGCATCGTGCTCAGGTCCACCGTCGGCTGACAGAGGGGGAGCCAGGCGTCCTGGCCTGCTTGTGTGCACGTGCAGTATCATTCCTCTGGACTTTGTAACCAAAATCCACATATTTTTTAAAAACTAAGTCCATCTCCCAATCCCCATTAGAAAAAATACCATTTATAGAGAGAAGAATAAAAATGCAGGGACTCACAGATGTCTTTTCTGAATGTGCAGGAGACTGCTGTGGTCGGGGGGCGCCGCCAGACACCCTTCTTTTCTCGGGTGAAACCACAGCAGGCCCCGCCGGGCCACGTGGGCCCGAGCCCTGTGCCGACGGGGTCGGGACAAGAAAACGCCCTGCAGAGATGGCGGCATGGGCAACCCTCGTCCTCTGACCCGGCCAGGCCCCGGCAGTGTGGCCCCCTCCCCCCTGCCCTGCACGCGCCCACGGGGCGCAGCACCTCAAGTCTCCATGCGGACGCGGAGACACCTGGAGACGTGACCTTCTGGGACCACGTCTCCCACTCTGAGCGCCCGGGCTCTGGGCCAAAGTGCCAGTGGCCGTCCTGTTCCTGCTCTGAGTTTTCTGAGCCCGTAAAGGACACGGGACACCCAGGCACACAGCTTGGCGCCTGGACTTGGCTGGAGGGCCCTCTCTGCCTCTGGTACCCCCAAGACCCCCCAGAACCAGGAACTGGTGCTGACTCAGCAAAGGGCACAAGCTCCTCTCCGACCCTCCATGGAAGCGGGAGGAGCGTGCTGTGACCTTTGCGTCAGGGCGGGGTGGCCTCCCAGGGTCCCCACCTGCCCGCCTGCCCTGACCCCCGGCTCGCTCGGCCCGCCTGGGACTGGCCTGTGTGCTGTGGGGTGCCGAGCAGTGTCCCGGGCACCCCCGACTCCAGACCACCCCCCCTTCCCTGCCGTGACACCAACATCCCAACCTGGTCGAGACCCCACCAGCAACACTTTGTCTTGCCAGCTCTCAGCCTGAACACTTGTACTTCAAACATGTCCTTGATAAAGCTGGAAAGATTAGAAAATATGCCTTAAGTGGCATTTTCCAAGAATGAATACCTACTTACTTAGCTCTGTTTCCATCCTGTGAAGATCTTGGGACAGTCATTCACATCCAGGAGGTTCAGAGGAAGGACCAGAGGGAATTCTAGGTGATTTACTGTGCAGTAGCCCCTGTGGATCCCTTCTAGTCCCTAAAAGTTAAATACTGCTTAAAAAACCCAAATGAATGGCCAGGCCTACTGACCATGTTTGACCTCTGATTATTTAGAAGTCAACCGAGAGACGATTTTCCATGATATGGTCCTACGAGGAGCACAGAAACTTCTAGAGGACACTGGAGGCTGCAGGGACCTGGCTGTGACGCCATGCGCCCCACCACGGGTCGCTGCGCTGTGGATGTGGCCTCCGTGCGGGGAGTCCTCTCCCAGGGAGGCGCCTACGGGGAACAGGGACCTACATGTGGACAGGGGTACAGTTTCTTTAGGTTACTGCCTCCTATCTATTTCCTCACTCCCTCCGTATATAAATGCTTCTTTGCAATCAAAGTAATGTGGCGTAAGAGTGACCTGACATAGTTACTTCTTATTTTATAAACCATATTCCTAGTTCTGAATAAATTAATTATTCAAGAATTTCACACAAAGTAATTCCTATTTTTCCTAAACTTCAGGAAGCCCTACTCAGTAGAACTCAACTTCTAAATGTAAACTGAGGTTGAAAGCAGTCACTGGATGATTCAAAAGGGGGAACACTGCTGTAGAGAGATGCCAGGTGGTGACACGGGACCCAGACGCCAGACCCCGCGCCGCGTGCGCCTGCCCCTGGGGACGGTGCCGCGCGCCCAGCTCCCACACATCCCACACCTGCCCCGGCTCAGCTGGTTTGGGGCCGCGCTGCACACCCGTCAGGGTGTGAGTGAGAACTGGTCCTGTTCCGTGGGCTTCTCCACCCAGGCGCCCAGCCCGGCCTTGATGAAGGCTCTGAACAGACAGGCCTTGGCGGCCTGGTACTCCTTGGCCACCAGCTTGGACTCGTGGTACACGTTGGGTTTAGTGATCTTGGACCGCAGTAAGTTGGAGGGAACCTGTAGAAAGATTTAAAAAAAAACAAGTGCAACTGTTTAAGCAATAACGGTAGAAAATGAAACTCAGTATGATGTTCAAAAAACGGCGTTTCAAACAGTGCTGCTTCTGGGGGGAACCAAGGGACAGTGCCAGCCCAGGGACCGTGTCACACGAGCCACGCTGGACCCCCCGAGGGTCTGCGTCCTCAGCCCCAAGTGACCCCAAGGTCGGGTTTCACACCTGCATGTCTTTAACAAACAACACCTCTGCCGTTTGGTCACAGGGAGAACTCGAGCCCCCCCCCCCACCTCCTCCAAATTTTTTGTGCAGATCTTAGAATCAGCAGGGCAGCTACCCAAGGCCCCCTGCGCGGGTGAGGGTCCCGCCACGGGGACGCAGCAACCTCTGCCCATCACAAATAAAAGCTACTGACCCGACTTACAAGTAAATGGAAGCCGGTAACGTACTGACTCACTAGAGGGGAGTTTGTGTGGGGAAGAAGGGCCATGCTGCTGCAAAGCCCCGACCCCCAACCAAAGCCCTCCAAACACACGGGTGGGACCCAGGGCGCCCCGAGCTGCGGGCCCCGAGGAGGACTCCGCGGGAGCGCCGAGCCCCAGGCTCCGGCGGGCTGGGGTGGGAGTCTGGGGGGAGGGGGGCTGAGCCTGCTTTGAATCTGAGGAGCCAGGGCCAGACTGTCAGCCAAGAGCACCCAGAAGAGACCAGGCGTGGGGCGGCCGCCCGGGCAGGCTGGTGGGGAAGGGCGCCTCAGTACCTTGCCGTGCACACGCATCCAGCGACAGTACAACGCGTGCTTACACAGGCGAGAGGCGCGGCCCAGCTCGTCCTTCCCTGTGGTGGCGTTGATGACCTCGATGGCCGAGTCGCCCACCGTCCAGTTGACACTGAAGTTGGGGGCCTTCCCCGGCTGCCGCGCCTCCGCGTTGCTGATGCCTAGAACGAGATGGGGGCGGGTGACGCGGGGCCCGGCATGCGTGCTGCGGGGACGCGGCCCGACAGCGGCTGGCCAGGCGCGCCTGCCCTCCCAGCAGCCTGCCCCAGTCCCTGCCGCCCAGAAACACACCTGTCTGTGCGGGGAGGCGGGTGGGCCCGCAGAAACCCCCAACCCCGAGACTCCACGCGCTCCCGAGCTCACTTGGGGCCAAATCTCTAGACACCTGGGTGGAGGGGGGCCCCACTTCCAGGAGTGACTCAGGGGCCCACACGGCTGTGCTCCTGTAGTTAGCGCGCCTGGCGCTCAGATGCTGCCCGCCGGGGCCAGGCGAGTTCAGCCCCTGCCTCACACGCAAGACACTAGCGATCCAGGAAACCCGACTCTCGAGGGGCCTGTACGAGCGAGACGGTGCCTCCTCAGCAGGGTTCAACCCTCCTGTCTTGACCAACCGAGGCTCATGTCCTGGGGCTGGGGACTGAATGCACACTCCCCGCCCCCCCTGCGTGTCGAGCCCGGTCATTCAACCCCGCAGACGGCAGACACAAGGCCACGGCGCCTACGATAGCAGCTGGCCCGCACCTGGACCCGCCAGGGGGCTTCAGCCCGGCCCTCGCTCTTGGTGGCCATCTACTCCTCCCTCGCACAGAACGTTACAGCCAGGACAGCAGGTCCAGGCAGCCCCCAGTTGGCGCCCAGGCCTCGCTCAGAAGCCTCACTTCCTCAGGGCAAAACAGCAGCTCATCTGAAAGCGGCAGGAAGAGACAATAAAGAAAATTCATGTTTACAGCCACCAGCCTCGGGGAGATTCATTTAAAGGGACGACTCACGCTTAACGGGATGTCCATGCTCCCCTCCCCCAGGGCGTGCGGGGGAGGGAGTGGGCACCCGCTCTGTCCGGCCTCCCCTTTGCTCCTTCACTGGCTGGTCACAGGAGGAGGGGGTGGTTGGTTCTGAACTAACATCCGGACATGACGGAGCAGCTTCTTGTCAGCAGCACTGGCCGGGGCTTCTTAAAGGGTCCTGACATTCGACACAGACCCCACCCCCACGGACACGGCAGGGAGCTGCTGCCCCACAGGGGGACCTGCGGACCTACGGCTTCTTCCAGGGGCAGGCGGCGGTGGGGGGCCCCCATGCAGGGGACAAGCCTCGGGCACTGAGCGGAGCTCGCTCGGGCCGGGTGGACCACACCCTGGATGACCTGCTCTAACACAGCTTCTGAGGGGAATCACAGGGTGACTTCGGGTCACTAAATGAACACTTTAAAAATGATGATTTAGGGCTTCCCTGGTGGCGCAGTGGTTGGGAGTCCGCCTGCCAATGCAGGGGACACGGGTTCGTGCCCTAGATCCGGGAGAATCCCACATGCCGTGGAGCGGCTGGGCCCGTGAGCCATGGCCGCTGAGCCTGCGCGTCCGGAGCCTGTGCTCCACAACGGGAGAGGCCACAACAGTGAGAGGCCCGCGTACCGCAAAAAAAAAAAAAAAAAAAAAAAAAAAAGATGATTTGTCCACAGGAGGAGTGCAGATTAAGAGGTGCATTCTTCCCTGGTGTCGCGGTGGTTAAGAATCCACCTGCCAATGCAGGGGACACGGGTTCAAGCCCTGGTCCGGGAAGATCCCACGTGCCATGGAGCAACTAAGCCCGTGCACCACAACTACTGAGCCCGCGCGTTGCATCTACTGAAGCCCACACGCTCTAGAGCCCATGCTCGCAACAAGAGAAGCCACTGCAACAAGAAGCCCGTGCACCACAACGAAGAGGACACCCTGCTCGCCGCAACTAGAGAAAGACAGCGCGCAGTGACGAAGACCCAACGCAGCCAAAAATAATAAATAAAAATAAACTAAATGTATAAAAAAGAAAAAGAGGTGCCCTGCCTTCTACTCGTTCAACCACAGAACTGCCTAGCCCCTACTAATCTTTTGTTCGAACACCTAAGTCCTCCTGGCCACAGTGGCCTCCTCTGAGGTCTTCTTCCGAGCCCCACGGAGGCGGTCCAGCTGGCAGCCAGCTACCGACTGGCTTCACACCATCCCCCGAAAGACAGAGAAGAGTCTGAAGGTGGAAGGGGTCGGAGCGCCCCCAGTGAGGCTGGGTGGAAAGCACACCCCGTGGACAGAGCAGGGAGCGCAGGTACCCCCCCGCCAGTGCCGACCTCTGGCTGACCTCTGCTCCGGACTCCAGGCCCGGCCATCCGCCTGCCTTCTCAGATGTACTAGATGCCCGCCCATGGGAAGCCTCCTCAGAGCAAAGCCAGCACCTGGGGCAGCCCCTCTATCCGTGCCCCAGGCTGCCCCATCCCCAGCAGCCAGCCCCGGGGCTCAGCGCAGGGACTTTAGAAACTACGCCCTAGGGAGACAGACCCAGTTCTGAGAAAAGCTTCAGGGTTCCTTCCAGGTTTCTGCCTTCTCCATTAAACTGCTGAATCATTTTTTCATTCCAAGACGTGAGCGCTGAGTTATTTCACCTTCCGTGAATGTTTTAACTGAAGTATAACAAAGTGTGCAACTTTTCACAGTGAGCAACCCGCAGTCAGCATCTGCTCAGTAAACTGAGCCTCTGGCCCCAGAGGGGCCCCCCGCGCCCTCTCCTTGTCACTGCCCCTCCCCCGTGGCAGCCACCGTGCCGCCCCCCCGCCCCCACAGCACTGACCGGTGCTGCCTGCCTCGATATTCATGAAATGAGTATTTCTCAGACCCTCAAATTAGTATTTGATTTCTATACTTACTAAGTACTCTCCACAAGTTAGTGAGGTTTATTCTTTCTATCCTCTTCTGTCTTCGGAGTCACTTCCTCTTAGCTGTTCTACTTTCTTACATAGATCACCTCCTTTGTGTTTACTTTCCTCAAAAGTTTGACAGCGGCTGTTCATTCGTGTTTTGTGAGTAAACAGCTTCGGAGCTGAACAGAGGCAGTCGGCATGGCCTCTTGTGCCTCTTTCTGGGATGGGCCTCCAATTCCAGGGAGAGCCTGGAGGAAAAGCCAGGACCCAAGTCCCTTCTGGACCGAGAGCCCAGAGCCCAGCCTGGCCCTTGCCTGGGGGCCTCACCACGGGCCGGACTCCAGTGGAGGAAGCTCCGGCCTCCTCCTAGATGTCCCCAGGGCATGGGACAGCCAGCCTGTTAGGAGTTCAATGCAGTCCTGGTTTCGGCATCTCCTCGTTTCACTCTGCTGCCAGGACACGCCTGCTCTGAGCTCTGGGGTTTTCCCCCCCCGCAGTTCTGTCAGGTGTCTGGGTCGTGGGCGGCTGTCACTAGCCCGCCTGCCTGGTGTGCAGTCGGTTCCTGCAGGCCACCAAGCTGCCGCTGAGCTTATTCAAGGCCACAGCCTTTCAAGTACGGAGTCAGGGAGGGGCGTGGGGGGAAGGGGGGGAATCTGTTTAGGTACAACTGGTGGGGGAATCTTCATGAATAAATGGATAATGCTCATATTACATTATTTTCCTTTGCAATTCCATTACTTTTCTACAACAGGGTCAAGATCAAGGGTTACTGCTGAATGATACTTAAACCTTGGAATTACAACATTTTGCATTAAAACTAGAAACGGTCAATTAATTGTTCAAGTTTTTAAAATTTATTTTAAGCTGAGTAAACTACCATCTTTACCAAGAATGGAGAAAATAAGGCAAAGAGAAAACAGCTAGCCCAAGGTTCCAACACTAACCATACACTTTTCCTGGAGCAGAGAGCCCCAAATGGGCCCAAGAGCTTATCTCTATGAGCCTCCGGGGCCAACACTGCTGTAGTACGGACACCAAGAAGAGCTTATCTTTCCCGGGCTGCAAAGCAAGAACCAGGGTAGTAAGTTAATCACAGACCATGGTGCAGAAAACACTAAAAGAAGAACAACTTTGTCTGGTAATGAGAGCCCCTCTGTTGCTGTAAATTAAGTGTGCTGAATCAGAACTTTTCGAGCAGAAGTACAGAGAAACTGTGAATTGGCCTAATAACTGATACAAGTAAACACTTAGGAAACTCAGCGGGCACTCATATTTTTTCTTACTTCCCTTGTAAAGATACTTCCTACATTCCTCACACAGTAACATGTAATCAAATGCATTACACACAGAACGAAGAGTAACAGACATCCAGGGCGACTATGGGTTCCCGTTACAGGAACTGCTACACGGTCAGGAAAATGTGCAGTTACAGTCTGGACTCAAAGTGGTCTTTGCTCTGCACGTACACAAAGACCTGAGTCGAGCTGAAGCGGAAGGAAACCGAGTACACAGCACCCGACAGCGATGGTGACACGGGCCGTGGAGCCGGGGCCGTGAGCCCCGAGCCTGCAGCCCCTGGAGCAGAGCACCTTCGAGACTTCCATTCTGATTTTCGTTCAAAAAGGCCCCCTGAGCTGACGGAGCGGGGGTGGAACCAGCGGGCAGCACGAGCCTGTGAGGGCGAGGTGGCCACACACACCTGTCCTGCTGTCCTCCCCAGTCCCAGATGGGGCCACGGCTCCGCGCAGAGGACCTCGGGCCGAATCAGACTCCCTTCTTACACGAGCCCAGGGTGGGGTGGCTAAACACCCACTCCGGGAAGGAGCCCAGGCGCTCTGGTCCAGGAGGTGACGTGTGTGCTGGTGGCGAGCCGGCCGGAAGGCGGGCCCATCGCACGGACAGGGGGTCAAGCCGGGCACCGCACAGGGCTGGTGCGCGAAAGGGAAAGTCCCTTCCCCACCAACGCGCCTGGGGGGCCAGACAGGGACTCCACCTGCTGGTGCAGACGCAGGGAAAGGGGGACACCTGGGCGGCACGGGGGCGGCAGACGCCTGGAGGGACACGCGGCGCTTGCGCCCTGCGGGCGGCACTTTGGGCCAGGTTCATGTTCTGAGCGGCGCGTGACCTTCCGGGGGCCCTGTTGCAGCAGCACCTGGAAGGGGGTGGGTAGCGGTGACGGGGAACACACCGCACAGGGTGGGGAGGATCCAAGGGCAGGTGTGAGGGGTCGGGTTCCATGACAGGAAGGAGCACGTGCCTGCCCTGAGATACGAT